CGATAGTATTTTCATGGGGAAAGTGATATTGTTCGATCTTTCATATATTTAACAAAAATATCAGTCGCCACTTGTACCGAAGAAAAGGCGGATAATTTAATATAATTTAATTTGAATTTGCACTGGTATATAGATAACTATAGAAATTTTAAATACAAGTTATTTCTTCACGAATCTGTTGTAAATATTTTTCTTTTTTTTTTTCATATTCTGTTTCACGTGACAATTAATCGTTCGATCTCCTAAAAGTAGACTTTTCAATTGAACGCAGTTTCATCGCATCGACGTGTGCTATACCGCGGACAAATTTATTGCAGAAGCAATGTCACTTCTACAATGCCGTTTATCTGTTTTCAACGCGGATGATCGCACGTTGTTCGAGTTTTATCAACGTTTATCGAAAAATTCGCTACCTCAGTAAATATTCTCTCTTCAAGATTTTACGCTTTCACGCTCTACATAGTTACAATAGAATAAACGTTAAAGAAATATTTCAAAGTTTGTTTATTAAACCTAACCTTTAATCAGATAGTCAAATATATGTGCCTTATCAAATGCAACAACCGTTACAACGATATTTCGCCCACGTAATTTATTAAAAATCAAAAACTGTCCTATCAGCTCAGGGTCTCCTCTTATACATTAAAATTCAAATATCTCCAAATTAGTTAACCTTGTATTTTAATCAAAATCTTTACCATTCATTTGAAATAATTGTACCGTACCGTTTAAATCGTTCGTTAGCTAGCATGCATCTTTCAGTTTCCCCATCGTTACGTCTCGATTAGCGTACTTGTATGCACCGATACGTGTGCAGGTAAATACACTGGCTACATTGAACTGACCTCTTCAGCTGCTCGACAATAGTCGGGATTATTAAATCGTTCAGGAAGCTGATTGGCTTTGCGACGTGGTTTGCCGTCGAATTAGAGCATTTGCGTTCACCTGGCAACTCGCTAACGTCTCTTTTCAGCCAATCTACATTATATCGTGAAAGAAACTCGTTCAAATCGAGGTTAGTTGCGATCGTCTTATTATCGTGTTTCGTCGAATTTCGTTGCATTTCCGTAAAACACCATCTCTGCTGTATTTTCACTGGGAGATGTGTTATCTTAAATTGGTTATTTCTAAACAGAGTTGTTGACCGTTACTATTTTAACCTTAGTGCGATTTATAGAGAAGATTAAAAGTAACGAACGTTAATCTGTGTTTAGAGGTTACTAATATCAATAGTATATCCGATAAACTATACTTAGAATTTCAGATATAAATTTTGCTCTCGATATTGCTCTCTCTCAATACATATCTCTGTCTCCAACGTGGAAAGATGAAAAGTACGAACGTGAACTTGAACTTCCTAAAGAAAAAAGGGAAAAGAAGCAAGGTGTACATTGTTCGCGTGTTACTGTTTCGAAACGAAATAAACTGCTCGAGGAATATTCATAAAAAAAAAAAAAAAAAGAAAAGGATACAATAAAAACAACCGGCGATCTTATCGGTAAACTCTTGTTCTAGCGTAACAATTCAAATGTGCCTAGCAATTATGTCGAAAAATTATCGAATGTTATAATCATTCGCAACTCTGAATGAATAATGCATCATTCTCGTTTAAACGGAAGGAGCCGGGATTACTCAACTGCCGGCTCGTTATCGGCGATTCGCGTTATGAAAATATTTGAAGGTCTGTCGTCATAAATATGGTAAGTGAATCACACGTTAGTGAAATGATGGATATTAAAACCGCTGAAATAACGATCAACCCCGTAAAAATAATTGTTCGTCGATACGACGATGTATACGATTTCGTCGTTAATGAAAATATAACGAATCTTTCTTCAATTCCACGAAACAATTAAACACTACAGACGTTACAGAAAAATATACTCGTTCAGATGAGGCTTGATACAGACGTACTTATTAATTATTTACGCTTACTGCGGATGTAAAAGATAAAATCAATTAGAACTTGTTACAACTAAATACTACAACCCCGTCGTTCTAACTACGAACTACTATAGTTACTATACTACCGTGGCTGCTTTTACACTAACATGGTAGCCACTACAGTCAGTGCAACGCGTTATACTATACGAAACTGCAACACGAGCTATTCAGAAGCCAAAATGATTAACTCCACTTATCGACGTTATTCTAATTTTAGCATCAAAGCACATGCTTAGTGCTTAATTCGTCCTGAATAAAACAAATTTAACAAATCCAATTTCACGGAGTTAGTCACTTTGCCTTCCGAATGGCTCGCATACTACACTTGTGATTAATATTCAACGCTGGTGGCCGGATATCGTATTAATTTTTCAAATGCACACAACGCATAATTAAGAAGTAATTTTGCTTATCAGAGGTGCAGCAATATAGATAGACAATCGCTAACCAGAATGATCAAACGTACACGAATACTGGATCAAGAGATAAGCGGTAAAATCAGATTACGCGATCTTTGTTCGTTCCTTCTACGTAGGTGGTAGAGTGATCGCGACCGGAACACCGTCCATTATGTTCTCTCTACCAACCGGGAAATGACGATTGCCGCGTACTGTAGAAAAGAGAAATATACCGGGAAGGTCCTCTAACGATGATGACATACGTACGAACACGATGCAGTTTTGCTGCAACGATTATCTAAGATATTTTACATACATTCTACGTTTACTTCACATTTTAACTTTGATATTTCCCAGGGGGCTAGAAGACCATTTTCATTATTCTAAGCATAGTGTTATATCATGCTTTATTATTATTTTTTGTTTAAATTTAAAGCAACGTCTAGTTAGCTACGGGGTTCGAAAATGTTAGTTGACGATATTTGTTCTAAACATTTGAGGTCACTGATGACCACCGTGACCCCATCTAGGAAGCAATCTCCGGTCACAGGTGACAATTACGAGTGATTCTTTCACCAACGAATGCGTTAATTTTCTAACCATAAATCGAGTTTTAATTCGTTTCTCTGGCAGAAGGCCGCGTGCTCTGTAGAAAAAATGTAACTGGAATTTGTTCCACGAAAAACAAAACTAAGATATTTTAGTCGAGTAAGTAGAAGTTCTAAATGGTCCGTTGGAATTCCTCGAAATTCACCTCGTCGTATCTTCTCTGTATTATATGCCCACGGAACGAAGCGAGCAAAGCTCCAAGTTGTTCAGGACACACTCGTAAACCCCGTCAAACCGGTTTCCATCGCGGGCGTCCGGTTGAGAACCGCTGTAGGTCAATCGTGTCAATTCTGACGAATGTATGTCGACTCTGCCCGCGTCTGGTCCTTGTAATTCTTTAGAGTAAACTCTGTGATCCGTATGGATCCGTGACACGTGTGCCATAGCGTGGATAAAACGGTATTAACTAAGATGCACCGATTAGAAATAGCGAATTACAGTGAAATTTGAGAAAAACGCTCGCAAGGGGTCAAGTTGAGAACAAATTTCTTGCTGTGACATATCACCGAGAGAGAGATCGCTGAAACCGTGAAATTTCTTCTTTCTACGCTCGTTGAACGTTCGATGAATATATTTTCGATGTATATTCTATTCGTTAATATCGTTAAAAAGAGGATTAGTTTTAATTCGATGTTAATATTTGAGGTTAGGATTTCCAACCCTCTTTTCCGTTACGTAAGAAAATTCAGAATAAACGAATTACTTGGAGATTCTTGCGATCTGCTTGGTTAGAAATTGTAAATCTAGCAAATTTGATTAATTGTTCAAGTCCTAACAATAGTATCTTGATATGAAAGAATAACTCGACACTTCTATTGTAAGAAATTCTTGGAACAAACGTTGTCTGCGCGGCATAAAGACGGCCTGTAGATGTTATTGTTACTCTATCGTCGATCAGACATTCAGAGAAGACATTATACAAGCTGAAAATGGTTGATAACGCAATTCACGTAACGCTATTAACTAGTCTACGAATTTCAATACTTTTTCTTTCCCCCCGACTAAAATATGACGCAAACTATGTATCTGTGAAACACTTGAATAAAAAAAATAAGTGTGAAATATCGAGGTTTGTCGTTAGCAATTTTGCAACATTCTGCGTGAAAAAAAGTGTCATTCTTATTATTAGTCGGTGGTTTTTGCATAAACGTGAGAGCATTTGTACAATGTACAGCAGCTGCAACTAGGAAATTGAACATTGCACACTGATGAAGTACGAGAAAAAGAAAAAGGTATCGGTATATAGTGTGACATGAATATTCTTATGTATTCATTACGAGGACATCGTAAAATATATATATTCTATTTTACTGCCAGAGAGGTTTCAATCATCAGGTGTCTACTAAAAAGCAAAAACACAAGTACAAAAAATTACAAGTGCCTGTGAACGAGGATTCTTTTGAACATAATTTACCTAACGTCGAGTTCCTGTTTTCTTTAAATCCTCTCTGTATGTGTACACAACTTCTGCAAACACAATGCTTTCGATAAGAATAAAAATTCAAATTTACTCCGTGTCGTAGTCACTCCTATCGAGAATTTTCTTCGTCTAATACTGTATTCGAGCTAACAGTCGACCGTGATGGTGCAACCACTGAAGAATACGTAAAACCTTGAATGAGAGAAACTTGATGAAACCTACGGAACACAATCATCGATATCATCGTCTGGAAGTGTTATCCCTTTATTCTTCTGTTACATCAAGCGGTCTCGTCCCGAGCGGAAAAAAGAGAGGGAAGAATTAGTAATGGTTGCTGTTCAGAAGGAGCCGCAAGTTGCTTTCTGGTCTTAAACAAAGCGAGGAAGGCAGAACTGTCGCGTCTGTCCGTAGATAGAAAGAAGGAAAAAGGCTGAGACTTATAAAGGCAGGCTAAGGCGTGTGTAAATACCTTACTCGATAGCTGCACGTTAACCTCATTACCCAT